TCGACCTGTTATTTTATCGTTTCTTCGCCGTGTTCTGGCGCCTTCCTAACAGCATTTAAACATTCTAAAATTCTCTGCGTCATAAAATACCCTTGGTCCACTCTCTTCTTGCTCTGCTAATGTCTCCTCTTTCTCTTGGCCTTCATAGTCAAGCTTCTCAAAAGAGTGCTATTTATTTCCCAATTAACTCCCTTCTGGCATTTTTTTCCTATTGTTTCTTGTTCCTCTCGCAATATTGTCTTTTTCCATGTATTACCAAAGCCAGTGGCGGTTTTCAGCCATTTTTTGACCATTTTTTGTCACTGGACTCTTGCGAACTCCTCCCTCTCTCTGGAAATGCGCATCTCTCGACTTCAGGGAAATCTACATTCTTAGATGGGTCTTTCTAGTCGATTTTTTTCAGTCTCTCTACTGCTTGTTCCATCTGGTCTTAAATTGTGGATATCCTTCAAAGCTGGGTTCTATGGACAGTTCTCTGTCCCTAGTCTCTACTTTTTCTTGCAAGCTTCTGTGTTGGTGACAAGGACTAGGGAGGAGGGGAAGGACATCAGACCTACCATAGGACTCTGCAACACTCATGCTGGGGGAAATGAGCAGCAGAGAGAAAAAGGAGACTTTTCTTCAGGTCTGGTAGCTGCATCTTTATTGAGATTTATGAGGCTTAGGGATGTGGCAGAACTTCAGCAGAACCTGGGAGGCAGCTTCAAGTGAGTGCTTAGGTCCAGTTCCAGATTTCCCTCAGGCTGGCCAAGCTTCAGGTCAATTCTCCTCCAGTATCTTATTGATCCAGGGCCGGTAATGGGAGATCCTGGTGAAGACTGCAGGGGGTTGGGCATTGGGCCTTCCATAGGACACGATGCCCTCGGCCACCCCGGCACACAGAAGAGGGCCTCCTGAGTCTCCCTGTAGACGGGGAGGTAGGGAGGAGGGGGGGAGAGCAAGAAGGTGAGGAGCCAGGTAGTCCTCACTCCTGTCTGACCATGCCAAGTCCAAGGAAGACCTTGGGCCGGCCCCTGGGCCTGGCTCCTCATGGGGTCATACACCTGGGTTATATGCCCCATCTGCCTTTTGTTCTGGTCACCCTGTGTGTTGGTGCCAGCCAGGGTCTGGGGGACACAGTCAGGCGCTGCCCAGGACCAAGCAAGAAGTCCACAGAGAGAAGGTTCGTATGCCCACAACCAGGATATCGAACCCACCCTAGCTGACGGCCTCTGACCCCAACTCCTTCCAGGAGATGATTAGTCCCTGAAGAGTGATTTGTGCAGACAAATCCCTGTCTAGGATCACCTTGAACACAGACTTTTTCCTCCTGGAATTGCCCACGCATAGCTGGAGACTGTGGTCAAACTGGGCGAAGTGTCTGCATGCCTGGGGCTCCATGAGTCTCAGCTTGACCTCCTGCAAAGTGTGGGGGTCTGATCCAGACACACTGGTTCTTCCCCAGCCCGCTGCCCTGCACGTTCTCCCAGGCGGGATGGTGTTGAATTGGGGTGCCAGGGGGATAGTCCCCACCGCCAGGGTCAGGTTGGCTTTCTCCTTGAGCTGTGAAGGAAGGAGGAGCTGTCAGCACAAGCCCTGGGGCTGTCACAGAAGGCTGGAGCAGCAGCACCGAAGTCTCCATGGGAGGGTCACACCCAGGGCTGAGCTGCTGGGTGCCGGCTCCAGGCAGGTGGGGGCAATGGGGACGTGAGACCGAGAAGGGAAGGAAGATGTCGTCACCTTTAGTAACATGATGTCATGCTGCATCCTCTTGTGTTTGTACTTTGGATGTGGGAACTGTTTCATGACCTTGAGTTGCTGCCACGTGTCTTCCTTCTGTCTTGTGTCGTGCACCCCCAGGATCGCTACTATAGCCCTGGCACGTGGGGGTGGGGCAACAAGGGAGACTGATGGTTTGAGACGTGCCCTTGCTGAGGAAAAGGAACTCTCACTGGGCCAGGGGGTCTACCCACCCCTCCTTTCTTGGTCCAATTCTGGCATTTGGGGGGCTCACGTCTTGCATAGGGAAGAGAGTTTTTAGGGAACAAAGATAAATTCCAGGGACTTTGGGGTTGTTGGGGACTGAGCAGAGGTCATGGAGGACCCACGGTCAGGGTCAGCCTTTCCTAATTCAGGATGCCTGTGTGAACATCCACCACACAGGGGAAAGAGAGCTCAGCAGAGAGGTGGAAATGGTCGGGTCCCAGTAGGGGATGGATTCCATCCCTGACTCAGGTGGAAAGGATGGGTTCAGCTTCCCAAGAATGAAGGGCCCCATGGTTGAAGAGCATAGATGAAGGCCTTTGAGAATAGCAGAGGTAGAGTGTCCCTGAACTGGTGGGGCCCAGGGTCTTAAGTGTTGGGGTCTGGGAGGGAAGGGCTACCTTCAGGAGTGACTCTTGATGACTCTCCTTTTCTTTGTGGGGGAGTTGGATTCTCAGTGCCTGAGGGTCAGGGCATTTTCTCAGAGATGTTTGCCCAAGTTTACCTCCCCTTAAGGCTGACCCAGGCCAAGCACCCTCTCCTCGGGGTTTCCCTAGCTCCTGCCCTGGCTCTTTAGCCCTGTTTGGGGTAGACAGACCCTGATGTCTCACCTTCCTGCACAGTGAGCAGCTGTCAGCACAAAGTTCCTTCTTACCAGGAAGCCACCACATTTGGCTAGATAACCCTGGGGAGTGATGATTTCCAGGTAGGCCATGTAGGGACGGGAGTGGGGTCTAGACTCTCTGCCCCCGATGATCTCCCCTGCAACAGAGAATCCCAGGCCTGGACACAAGCATCCGTATTGTCTCCAGTGGATGCACAAGCTGGGCTTAGGTTGGGCGAGGAGCCCAACTCATGCTCTTGACTCATTCTTACCTTGCATTCTTCTGTCTCTCCTCTAAGGTCTCTGGCACCTGCTTTCCCCACCCACAGCCTCCCACATGAGTTCCCCTCCCTTCATTGAGGCACAGCAACCACGCAGATGCTGTTCACTTGGGATTCCCCCAATTCTGCCCCACCTCAGGCCCCCTTTCCACTATGCCAGTCCCTCCAGGTTCCTGCCTCCCCCTTCTCCACAGCCTGTGAGAGGTGACAGAACAGCCACATTATAACATACCGTGCAACCTGGAACTTAGAGGAGGAAGGGGCCTAGGCCCTCATACACAGTCTCACCTTCCAGTTGAGAAACACATACATGTTCTCCTTTTCTGCTTGCTCTGCCATATCCCCCCAATCAATGTGGGGCTCCTGGGAACTACTAAGGCTGCAGAGAATGGGTGAGCAGATCCCAAGTGGAAGCTTCCACTCTGGCTCTTGAAGAGTGGGCCCTGTTTGAGAGTCAACTCTATTCAGATGAAACTTTGCTGCAGGAGCTGATCCAGCAACCTCTAGTGGGAGACTCACCAGCTTTAGCTCTGGAGCACAGGACAAAGAGCAGCAGGGAGAGAGGAAGACGGTGCATCTTCTCAGAGCCAGTGCTGCTTGTTTTCCAGCTGTGGGTTTTATAACTTCCATCCAGCCAGGGCAGGGCAGGGCAGGGCAGGGCTAACAACCGCAGGAACTGCATGGTTATTTTTTTCCTCATGCTAAGCTGACTGTCTTTCTGATCAGCAGCTCCCCCAGAGCTCCCTTCTGTTTTATTGGAAGTGAAGTGAGGCCTGAACTTCCAAGTCCTGGCTTCCAGGATGAACTCTGAACTCTGGTGCCCATCAGGGCCTGTGGAGTGTAGGGAAGGGACGCAGCAGCGCCGGACCTCCACGTCCTGTTCTTGAGCCGCATCGCCACCATCCACACCTCCTCAGCTGCCCATCCTTCTCTGGAGCCTTGTCCTACCTGTAGCTGTTGGGCCTGTCAATCATCCTCTCGGTAATCTCACTTAATTCACACCTTTCATCCTACTCCACCTTACCAAAGTCCTATCTCAGGCTAGCATTTGCCATTCAAGAAACAAAGAACTCTCCAGTGTTACAGCTAAGAATTCTTTGCCTGACTCTGTGGAGGTCCGACCCATCTTCCCTTAGCCTCTGCAGACAACCAGTCTTGTAGTGACCTCACTAGCCCCCCGGGCCTGCGGTGGTCTCCCTGTGCAGGTGTCTCCCTCTCCTCAGCATGCCGGCCACAGTGGACTAAGCTTCCTCGCTCTAGGATGACTTAATTAATCACCTCTGTAGTGACTTTATTTTCACTTAAGATCACATTCTGAGGTGCTTGGAATTAGGAGATCTGTATATATTTTGGCAAGGACACAGTATAGCTGTAACCATTGCTACACAGACCAACCAACTGTGGTGCAGGCCTATGTGGATGTAAAAGTTGACACAGAAACTGGGTGCAGGAGAGACAGTGTGAGGTTCTCAGTTGCGAGAAGCAGATATTTTCCAATGAGTTTTCTGACCTGGGGCTCAACAGTGGTGGCTTTTAGGTGATTGGAGAGCGACTCTTTGCCCTGTTCACCTAGAGATGCTCAAGAATGATATTATATTGCGAGGAACAGGCTCTTGGGCATTCCCCAAGTTCCCTTCAGTTCTCAGACGCCCTCTTAGCATGAGTTGGACACACTTATCTGGATTATTTCTCTAGATAAAACAGTCTTATCTGGGCGGTTTCTCCTGCTGACTGTGATGCTGAGACCATTATCATCCCGTTGTCGGTCAGGTGGCCGTCTTTGCTCCCCATCCTCCACCACCAAAGTTAACGCCAGGCATTGATTACAAGCTCATCTTTTGTGCTCATCACCACTGCTCTTTCCACATCAGGGGTCTGTGTGATGCTGGCCTGCAGTGGGGGCTGTGCTGGAGTCAGTGCTTTTCAAGCCTTTGGGATCCTGTGCAGTCTGTGGGCTCAGCCCGGTGCCCCACAGTGTCCAGTGGCTTCACTACAGGCTGGTAGTGGGCCCCCAGGTGGACCAGACTCTCCACAACTCCTTTTCCCAGCTACCTGGCAGAAGGGATGCCCTGCGGATTGGGGGCAGGGGTCAAGAGTGGGGGGCTTAGCCGCAACTCACTGTGCACTCTGGTCTCTCCAGCAAAGAGTACACAACAGGGACACAACGTGTCTTTGCTCCTTGAATTTCACATTTAAAATATCTTAGTTATACAAGAGTTGGTATAAAGCTTTAATTGGACCAGAGTTAGGACAAAAGCCCCAACTGTTTATTACCATTCCAGTCTTGATTTATTATGTCTGAGATCTTTCCAGGTTTTCTTTTTTCCTCTCTCTTTTTGCACATTTACGGGTTTTTCATACTGATCTGGCATCCTCATCAGATCAGTATGTGTTTATTGTGTTTATTATGCTTTCTTTGTTTTACGCCAGTGTTGATGCGTGGTAAAGCCGGAAACCCTGATCTGTGATGGCTGCAGTGAGGAAGGCGAGAGGCCTTCTTTCTTTATGGGGACAGGCCTGTCTCCTTAGACCCCTTAGGGACCGTAGTGGGACCTGTAAGGGACACTTTAATCATGACACTATAATTACCCAAGTTCGGGCCCTGTTTTCCTGTATTGTGTGTGTGGCTGGGAGTGTGCTCATCCAGCTCAGAAGTTGGGGAAGATGGACTCAGTGAATTGCAGATTACTTAGAGGAGGACATGTTGGGCAACTTGGTTTAACTCAGGTATTGTTCTTCCAGAAGAATATTAGAAAGAAAACATAGTACAGGACATCTACCTCAGAGATCTCTTTGGGGACTCCATTCCAATGGCAAGGGAAACAGAAGTAAAAGTAAACAAGTGGGATGTCTATTGCAGCAGCTTGGATGGAGCTGGAAAAGATCACGCTTAGTGAGATAAGCCAGAAAGAGAAAGAAAAATACCGGATGGTTTCACTCATAGCAGGAGCATAATGGACCAGGCGAGAAAATAACAAAAATAATGAACAACCATATACTAGAGACATTTTGAGGGGGTGGAGTGGGGAATGGGATCAAAAACGGGGGGGAGGGAGAGAAATGCACGGGATTATGGTGATGGCACACGGGTGATTTGGTGATGGGAAACCCGCGGGGATTACAATCGAGATGGAAAAAAAAATGTACAAAATGATGTAAAAATGAACTTATGTTTAAAAAAAAAAAAGTAAACAAGTGGGACTACATTAAACTAAAAAGCTATTGTGCCCGAAAGAAACCTATACACAGAAAATAAGAAATTTACTATAGATGGGAAAAATATTTGCCAATCACATAAATGATGAGGTGCTAATTTCCAAAAAATATAAAGTACTTATACAATCCAACAATGGTAAAAGCAGACAGCCCCATCAAAAATGTGGTAAAGGCCTAAATAGATATTTTTCTAAAGAAGGCATTCACATAGTCTGCAGGCATGTGAAAATTTGCTTAACATCATTTATTATCAAAAGAAGGGAAAGGCAAATCAAAACCACAATGAAGTACCACCTTACCCTTGAGAAAATAACCCATATCAAAAAGAATGAAACCAATAAATGTTGACAGGGATGTGGAGAAAACAAGCTCTCATTCCCTGTTGGTGGGAATGCATGTTGGATCACCCTCCATGGGAATAATACGGTGATTTCTTAAGAAAAGAAAAATGGAGATCTCATATGATCCATCAGTACCTCGGCTAGAAATTGATCAAAAATATATGAAGTCTAATATGAGAAGACAATGTACGCTATGTTCAAAACAGCACTGTCCACAATAGCTAAACCATGGTATCAAGCCAAATCCCATCAACAAATGAATGGATAAAGAAACTGGAATACATACTCAATGGAATACTATACAGCTATTAAAAAGATAAAATTGTGTGTTTGGGAACAAAATGAATGGAACTCAAGGTGACTATGCTAGGTGAAATAGTTCAGGAAGTGAAAGACAGATATCAGATGGTTCCACTCATCTTTGGAATATAGATAATGAAACACACACACACACACAAAATACAGAAGCAATAAATCTTGGACTTAGTGAAAGTCCAATATTCTCTCTATCTACCAGAGGGAATAGAAGGGCAGGAGAAGGGGAAGGTAGAGGGAGGCAGGTGGGGTATTGACAGGTGGTTTGGTGGAGGATGAGTGGGCCATGTGCACTTATGGAGGAGTGAAAATATAACCCTAAATTAAATAAAGAAATAATGGGAAGAGACTCAGCTTATATCTTCTACTCTCTCTTAGACTATGAGCTTGTCATACATGCACTTATTCAAGATACAGGCTGCTAGACCTTTCTAAAGACATTGAAGCTAATAGGTGAGTGTTTGGCAGGTTGATGTAGCTCTAGCTATGGCCCAGGGCAGCTGGCTGGATGAGGACTAACCAGCCTGCTCCAGTGGGAGGTGTGCCTACAGGCGGGGCACACTGTCACCTTGTCATCAGGTGCCATGAGGATGGAGGTAGTCTGATCCTCCCCGAGGCCCTGCTACAAATAGATGAGGGAGCCGGCAGCAGGACCCAGCGGGGTCAGAGGTGGGGGTGGGGGAGCTCAAGGGAAAGGTGGGACGGCTGGGTCCCTGCCTAGATCTGGTGTGGGGAGGAGGGCACAACAACTTCCTCCTAGTCTTTTGCTGTTGAAGTGGACTGGGGTACAGGAAGGAGCCAAGGCTGCCCTGTGAGTGTCTGGGAAGTGAGTCCCACCGTTCTGTGGGGAGACAGTGCCTTAGTGGGGCCAGGCAGAGGGAGCCACCTGTGCAGTGCTGGTGGGCTAGGGCGGGGCCTGTGTGAGTAGGTGGACTGGGTGGGCCAAGTGCAGGTGCTGGTAGGAGAGAAGCTCCGGAGCTGGAGCTGTTGCATAGCTCATGTCATTCAATGGTCAGAGAGCACAGAATGCTCTCACTGGGCAATGGTGTGTATTAAGAGTCAGAAGCCGGCCCCATGGTTAGCGGTGACCCTGACCAATGGCAGTGGTCTGGTTACCCCGGGAGAGCCATGGTTCTGTAGATCCAGGGCAGGAAGCTGGAGATCCTGGTGAAGACCTGGGTAAGTACCTTCTGACCCTTGTAAGCATAGCTGACAATGCCCTGGGCCACACCTTCACACACGAACGGCACTCCCCCTCCCCAAGTCCCTCTGTGGATAGAAAATGTGCACGTCTCAGCCACGGCTCAGGGCTTCTCACCTCTCAGCTTTGCCATCTCCCCAGCGCTTCCTACCTCTCTCTAGGGCTCCCAGGTCCTGAGGCAGGGTCTGAATGGTCATCAGTCACCTGGGCATGACTGTTGGTGACTCCCCTCACACATTGCCTACTCTGGCTGTGCCCCCTTCTCAGCTTGGCCCAGGCCCAGGCTCCTCCTCCTTGCCCCAGGACAAAGGCCAAGATGTTGGCCAGAGGGAGAAGTTGCCCCCCACTCCTCTGTGCCAGGTTTATTAAGAACATGCCTACACCCACGTTGGAGCCTGGCCCACTACAGATGCATGCAAGAATTGGGTCCAGACCAGAGGTGTTGGGGGTGAGAGGATTCACCAGAGACAGAGTGGGGAGCAGAACAGGCAGACTGACAAAGTACACTGTTTAGGGGAGCAGTGGGCGGGACAGGCGAAGTCTGCTGTACCATGCAGTTCACCTCCCTGGCCGGGGATCCAATTCGTGCTGCAGTGGCTGCCGATAGCTTCGTAGTGCTGTACTTTAATCCGTTGTGCCACCAGGGAGGGCCAAGGACTGTCAGCTTTTGACAGGAAACATTTCAAGGTGTGAATCTACTTGGATACCGGCAATCACTGGGCAGTTTACATTACTTCTCTGTGTTCTTCTAATTTTACATAGATTGGGAGGACTGCTGGAACTGTATCTCAGTGTGTACATGAGGTATATTCCTTTGCGTCTCTGAAACACCCATCCACAGATGATTAGGAGATGCAAAGTGTCTTGTCAGGACACATAGGTGCACATAGGTGTGTGAAGACATTTCCAGTTTGAATCTACTTGGAATACAAATAATCACCATATAGTTTACTTTCCTTCTCTGTGTTCTGTCTAAACTCATATAGATTGGAGAAGACCAGGGTCCCTGAACTGGAAGAATTCTTTTACATGTGCTGATTATCTATTCCCAATAGGGGGAGTGTGCAGAGGGTCTTCCCATTCCTGCTAGTGGGTTGTCTCTGTCCTGTTCTTTTGATGACCTCTGTCTCCTCCCCACCCCCATGTTGCAAAGCCCAGGCGTGTTCAGCAATGTTGTGGTGACTAAGTAACTGTTTGGACACACTGAGTTCAGTACCCAGTAGATAGTATTTATGAGATTTGGAACTTAGAAAACAATAATGAGAGCATAAAATTTTTGCCCAGGAGCTGTTGGTTATCATTTGAAGGTATCTTGTGACAAACCACGAGGGTTTTTATACATTTGAGCTGGCAGGAACTTAATCTTAGTTGGCCACTCTTGCAATTGGCTTCACATGAGGGTTGTATCATGGCTTGAGGGTCATAAATATTGCCCTGACCTGGTGTTGGGAGATTCCCAGGTCCTCAGCACAGTTGTTTACTTGCTGACACACCTGCTCTCCTCATCTGCCTCCTCCCATCTCTGCAGCATTCACACCCCCATTATGTGACTTCTTCCAGCAGTGTAATAGGGGCATCACCCATCATCCCAGTGGCAGAAAATGCAGCTTGGAAACGAGATGTTGTGCCACAGGGAAGAGCAGCGAGTGGGAAGAGAGAATGCTCCACCCTATGGCCTCAGAGCCACACACTGCACGGTGAGCAATACTCCTCCAGGCATGGTGTCCAACCCAGAGCATAAGAAAGGAAGGGACACAGGCTCAAGAGAAGACTCCCTTTGAAAAGCCCTTCCAGAAACCTCCTCAGTGACTTCCATGGGCTAGACTGGTGCCCCCTGTAAGCCCCTCCACGCACAGGAGTCTGGGAGCGTGAGTAGGAGATGAATATTGGGCAAGCAGCTAGCTATGCCAGCCACAAAAAATGTCATCTTACCTTCCATTTTAAAATGAGACCCCTGTGGCTTATGGCCTTGTCTATAGCCACGAGCCCAGAGATATGTGGGGTAACTCGGATGCAGTCGTAACAGAACTCATCTCTAGGGTACACAGGCATGGACTCGATGAAGGCAGGAACCTCACAATTGTGTCCCAAGCATCCTAAGACCTCCCAGGACTTAGAGGTCTAAGAGATATTTTGATGCGGTTGCTCTGTCACCAGGGAGGAAACACAAGCAACTAGACCTGAGCCTGTGACAGGAAGATCTGCCCCCCACCCTGCCACGCCCGTGGGCAGCTGAAGAATTGGTGAAAACAGTTGCAAGCCTGCCTCTGTGGTTCTTCACCACAGTATTATGTACCTGTTGTCTTCCGGTGTCTTCCCAGCACAACAGAGAAACTGCTGAGGGTCCTGAGGGGTACCTGTTGGGTTGGAAGGTGGGGGAGGCCTCCTTGCACCGCATGCTGGGCCCATGGGTGGCCCGCGTGACTCAGAGCTGATGTTCCTGCTCTCCAGGGCAGCTGGGCAGCAGGGCTGGAGTCCACGCCCGCAGGCCGCACCACCTCAGTGCTATGTCTGTTCCTGGACCTCATGCCTTTCCTTTCCGCCTTGCCTGGCCTCCCACGGGAACATGGGTGAGTTGCAAAGCCTTTCTGAGAATTTTCACCTCCAATTTGACCTAGAAAGGTGCCCAAGGAGACTCCTGGTAGAGAGGATCACAGAGGATGATTCCCCTCGCCAGCCCTTGGAGGTGTGGGAGACGCGACCTTGTCCTGTGCACCTGGGCTGCCTGGGGACAGGGACAGTCACAGGAGGTGCAGAGAAGGTCTAGGGGGACCTGGAATTCACCAGGATACCAGGAATATATTGGGTTTTCCCTAACGGAACGCAGACCTGGGTGAAGAGTTCCGTGAGAGGTTGAGGGCACAGTGTGCAGCTGCTGTGTGGAGCCGCTTCCACTACAGCCCAAACACAGGACCCCGGGAAAGGAGCTATGCAGGCTGTGCCTCAGTTTCCCCAACCATCAAGTGGCAGTAGTACTACTCAACTCAGCCCCTTGGGATGCTGTAGGATTAAGTGAATTTGTTTAAAATAGTTCCTCCCTGGTGGTGCAAGGGTTTAAGATACAGCACTGTGAAGCTGTGCACAGCCACTGAGCACAAGTTTGAATCCGGCCAGGGAGCTGACCCACATGGCGCAGCAGACCTGTCCTGTCTCTCCATTGCTTCCCTCAGCAGGGTATTTCAGTAGATCTGCCCGTTCTGCTACCTACTCTGTCTCTGATGATTCCTTTCATCTCCCCCACATCTCTGGCCTGTACCTCAGTTCTTGTATGTATAAATAAATAAATCTTGAGAAAACAAAAACAAAACCGAGAAAAAACAGTCCCTGATGCAAGATCCGTTTCCCCACTATGCTTTCTGCTCTCCGTGACCTCATCCCCGCTGTGGGAACACACAGTGGCTCACAGCTCACCTCACTGGGGCGCTGTCTCCCCACGCTGCTGTGGAGGGGAAGTGGGTTGCATCACAAGGCAGGAGGGAGGTCTTGTCCACTTCAGGCTCAATCTGTCAACACACATCCCCTCACCTGTGCACAATTTGAGTTTTGGTGTGAGAGGGGCTGGGAGCAAGGTCGAAAGAGAGGAGTTTCATATGAGGCAGAGGAGTTAGTGTAGGAGAACAACAAAAGACAGGACTGCATTCTTAATTTCTTCAGGATCACACTCCAGGTGAGGTGCTGACTGTCTTCGTTCTTTCTCCTCCCCTTTCCTCTGTCTTGCTTTACCCTAAGATGTCAAGTTTCTGTGAGGCAAATTATTTCTTGTTAATTCTGTCTTTTTTCTATCACTGGGTAACACATGACCATACATTTGGCAGCTTCCAATAACATCCATTTACAATGAAATAATATTTCAGAAAGTCTGGACAGACTTAGCAGAGTTCTCCACTCAGGTCTCTGAAGACTCAGATCAAGGTGTGGGCCAGGCTGGGCTCTCTTGGTGGGTAGAGTGGGGGGAGGGCGCTGGAAAGGAACCAGCTGCCAGGCTCCCTGGGATACTGGCAGGACCCTGTTTGTGGATTGGGGCCCTCCATTCCCATTTTCTTGCTGGTGTCATTAGGGGCAGCTCTCAGCTTCTTGAAGCGACCTCTTTCCTTGCCTTATGTCCCCTTCTCAGAAATGGCACATCACGCTCTCCCTCCTCAGGGTGAGGGTTTTCATGACACCCTCTGCTGCAATCAGCTGGAGAAAACTCTGCAAGAACCATGTGAGTTTTTGTCAGAGAGTCCACACAAACAGAAGTTCGTATTCACAGGCCCCAGCCACATTCTCAGAGGAGGGTTTCTATAAGGGTGAGGCTCACTGGGGTTATCTCAGGATTGTGTCCACCACCCATGAACGCCATAGAATGAAGGAGAAAAGTGGGGCAGAGACAGTTCAGGGTCATCTGAGGAGTTGAATGTGGGATATTAACCTCCTGGGGCCTTAGGCCTTCTCCCAGGTTCAAAATCTCCTCAAGGGCTCAGACACGTGGGAAACTTGAATTCTGTCCATTTAGAAGGCACACGGGCCTTGACAGGGCAGGAGCCCGCAGAGCTGAGGGTGGACAGGGGACGTGGCTCTGGGAGCCAGGACATGGTGGCTCAGGCCTGAGGAGCCACCGAGAGTCAGCACAAGGTCAGGACACTCAGCAGCATTCAGTGGACTGAGAACAGGGGTGTTGTCTTCCCCTTGGCCTGCTCTCAGAACATTGAAGGCAGATCAGCTTCCAATGGGAAGGGCAAGTGAAGGCAGAGAAGAGGGAATCAGTGAGAGGAGAGAGTGAGCAGGTTAGAACTTTTCTGGGCAGCTCCAGGCACAAAGGAGGGGGACAGGCCTGGGAGAATGGCCCTCCATTGCAGGATGCACCCCCACATCCCCATCCCAGTCTGTGTTAATTTAGACACACCAGTGAAACTGATGTGCACATTTGGGGGATGTGGGAGGTAGCTGGGTGCAGGGAGAAAACCCCCCATACCAGGGAGAACGTGCAAATCACAGACAGGGGCGCTGCCTGGGAATCCATTGTATTTTCTCTTCAACTTTCTAACAAAATGCCATGACACTGTTTGAGCCCTGCAGTGCGTGTCCTGTTCCTTCCCGGTGACATTGCTCAATCCTTCACCATTCACTGTTCTGCTTAATCCACCCCCCCCCAGCACCCAGTATCATGAGGCCTAATTGTTTCTGTCATCTACTGGTGGGAAATGGTAAATCATAGTGGTTTTTATGCCCACTTCCCTGAAGACAGTGAGGTTCATTAACATTGTGAGTAAGTCTTTTTAGCTTACTCTCCTGTGAGTTGTCACGGCCCTTTCAGTTACATTTATTTTTTACATTTGCTTTTCTTAATGATTTAAAAAATTTTGATATAACCTAGATTCCAGTTTTTTAGCAGGCAATTGTAAATATTGTCTCCCACCCCAATATATTTTTTTTCATTCTTATGGTACCTTTGGTTAGTTAAATAGAAGTTTTACATTTACAAAGACTTCAATTTATCCATTTCTCCCTATTGTTTCTGAGTTCTATAGATTTTCTGAAAAAAGAAGGAATTAATTTTTAGTTGCATTCTTCATTATTCTTCATAATTCAGGCACTTCAGGGCTCTGGTTGTGTGACTTTCTCAAGACAATTCCTAGGACAACAGAGAACACTTTCCCTCTCCAGTCAGCTGATATGACAGCAAGTAGTCCTTCCTCGGGAAGCTCTCTCCCTTCCCCCAGCTTAACCTGTCAAGGTCTGCCATTTTCCCCCTCAGAGAACTCGCCTCGCTCATAACTGTGTATGCGTTTATTTGGCCAGTGGGCATCTCGCTGCTCAAGATGGGAAATACCATCCGTTTCACCACTCACCAGCTCATCCTCATGGAGAAAGTGCTCATGGAGAAAGGTCTACACAGTTTTGAAGGAAAGAACTGCCCAGACTAGAAGTCTGTCTCTACCTGGATGACATGACAATCTTTCTGTGAGAGACTTTCTCTGGGTTCTGGCAGTGACTCCCCGTCAGCTCAGAACATGCAGGAAATAGCATCTCTGTCTTTGACCCAGGACCCCCAGTGGTCTTCTGCTCATGAGGTTCTCAGTGTGGCTACAGTAACTGTGAAGAGTCAACGGTTCTTATAACACAGTCAACCCTTAGGTGAAAGCTATGATTATAGCTGTTAATTGTAACTTTGTGGTTGTTGACTAACCAATGTGTTAGTTAATGTGTTCCCAAATTTCACTCAACCCTCAAACATCTTGCATTTTTTCTATGACACATCTGCAGAGGTTTTTTTTCATTGTTAAATGTAAGGCAACGGGAAGGAGTGTCCGGGTCATATGAGGGCTGGTCAGTCCAGGCCGGATGCCATGGCCCAGGGTTATCCCCAGTTGCCCCCAGCCCAGGAGCGCCCTGTAGTCTGTCTGCAGGTGTCCTGAGCATGTCATGTGTGCCTCCTCCACTCAGTCTGGCTGGTGTCTGGGTTAGCGTCACGTATGCATGAGGTGTAATTGTGGAAACCATACAGGAAAAACTGGAGGAATTGTAAGGATGAAAATTCATACCTCATAAAAAAGGCAGCACTGACCACACACAACTGGTGTTTTACAGTGTCATGTTCCCAGAATGGACACTCAGTGGTGGACGGTATGATATGCTGCAAGGGGTTGCACATCAATCCATGTGTCATCCCCCTAAAAAGCAAAGAGAATGAGCTCAAAGCCAGGAATGAAATAATTTGTAGAGACAGAAAAAGTAAAAGATACAGCTTTTTTTTTTTTTGCAAGGATTGAGAGAAAATGTGGAAAGTTACTTGGAAACACAAATAAGTTCTAAGATTCTTCCAATGCTGATTCCTTGGAGATCCCAAGAAGATCCTGAAAAGTTAATTCTCTTTTTTTTTAAATCACTGACCACAACAGTCTTCTGAGTATTTAATAAGTACTTTGTGAATTATCAGTTTACTTCTCATCACTCCTCTTTTTTTACCCTATGTTCATCCCAAGACTTCAAGTTCACAGTATCAGTTCAGAATATGCAGGAAACAGCATCTCTCATTACCCCCATGTCTTTTAATCCCCGTCATTATCTACAGTGTTAACAAAAGCTCTACATGCTCACTTTCCCCAAGGCTGTCACTGAACACACTCTTGAGCTTGTTCAGTTATTCTGAATGGAACTGAATTGAACTTAGCTGTTTTGGTCACTGTCTGCTTTGATAATCACACAGTGATAATCATACAGGAAGAATCCAGTATGTGGAAGTGGAAAGGGAAATACCATGTCTTTTGAGCCAGCAGTTTTCCTGGTGACTCTGTGGGTCTCTTCCTTTGTCACTAAACTATTGCCAGTACAGACCTCTCACTTCTCTAGTGGTACTTCCCCTCTAGAAGGCATGGGAGGTCCTGCCTCTCTGTGGGCTGAGTTTCAGATGGCCGTGATGAGGCTGTATGCTGCTTGGCGCTACCCAAAGGACACATTTGGGTGACACCCCCAGTCAGTCCCCCAGAAACCCATTGTAAAATGGAGGGAGAGATGGCCTTCCACCACAAACCTTTGGAAGTAGAGGAGAGAATTACCCAAATAGTGCCAGGTGGGGACACCATGTGGAGAAAAGATTTTGCTGAAAGGACATCCATGGGTTGTCTAGTTTGTGATGTATGAGAAGAATGAAACGGGGAGAAATGCCAAAAAAGTTATCCTTCCCACTTTGTCCTGATTGCCTTAGAGAACAGAGCACGAAGCAAGGTTTACAGAAGCAACAATTCATTTGGGAGGAGCAAGACCATGGCAGTGACTTGAGGAAAAGGCGTTGAGTTGAGGAAAGATGCTCTGCAGTGCGGTCTGTTATGTCACCACAGCAGCTCACTGCTTCCGCTGGCCCCAGGAGACAGGCAAGTGGCCGGGTCACTCATACTGGGGTGTCTCCAGAACTAGGAGTGTGATGGCAAGAGAATAGCGTTCACTGAAACAAAACTCCGAGTTTATTTTTTGCTAAGCAAGGGAGAGATGCTGGAAAGGACATTGTTTCTGAGAGAGGCAAGAGCTGACTTTACATAGGGCTTGGGAAATGTGGGATTCAGAAGTTAGTGGCCTTTCAGAAGCGTATATATGAACAATGGAATACTACTCAACTATTAAAAAAAAAAAGAGGAAATCTTTCCATCTTCATCAACTTGGTTAGAACGACAGCAGATAATGCTATGTGAAATAAGTCAGAAGGAGAAAGATAAATACCAGATGGTAGAATATAAAGAAAACAGAGAACCAGACAAAGCTAAATCTAAATGCCTAGAAGGGGGAGGGTGGGAGTGGGAAAAAGTTGGAGGTGGACCCTTGGGCTGTGGGAGAGGATTGTGGTTGTGCACAGGGTACAGTAACATGCATCTGAACAGCTGAGACTGCACCCCTAAGTCATATACAGTATTGTGATCCAATATACCCTCAAAAATGCAATACAAAAATTGTAAGTGGGAAACTTCTGCAGTTGACTTTCACCTGTGGGAGCTCGTATATGAGGTTGCAACTGTTGGCTGATGGCATTTGCTCCTCTAAGCTGTTTTGTGCATGACCGTGTGCTGTGTTACCCACGTCCAAAAATGGAGGAGCAGCTAGTGTAATGGGGCATCAGCTTGAGAGGGGGAGAGATGGAAGAAGAGACAGAGAGCGCTCAGCTGAGGTCATTATGGCAAGGGGCCTTATGTGCAAATTAGGGTGTGAATGAGTAAGCCTGACCCTGGTCAGGAAGGACTAGTACACACTTTTCCTGGGGCCAAGCAGGGGTCACCCTCAGAAAATACCCATGAAATGATTTCCTCCTCAATTTTTCTTCAGAAATAAAAGGATCCCTTTAGCTATGCCCACACTGCCCCCACCATTTTTTATTCTGATTGCCCAGAACATGGAGAAGAAACCAAAGATCTTTCACTGCCAGCTCAGTGAGGGACCATCACAGCACCCTCTCTCCAGGAACGTCCACACTGGAACATACCAGCCGAAGGTGCTTAGCAGGTGTGCCCAAGCAGGGCAGGGGTGTACCCTGACTGTAACTTGGTGGGTCCCCTGAACAAGAGAATCCCAGCACCCCAGACAAAGAACAGTCAGAGCATGTTGGTACTAGTGGTAGACTAGTGGTAGAAAGGGCTGCAAGCCTCCAGCTCTGCTGTCCCCCTACTTCCCCTTTCTGGGGAGCCTTTTCCAGGCTCATTTCCAGGCTCACACCATTTCCAGGATTATACTTCCACGTCGTCTCCCCCTGCAGTCTTTATAGGCTTCTCTGAAAGCGTCATACTTCAGACCATTTCCAGAGCTCAGGGCTGCTCAAAGGAAAGAGCGGGGGATGGGTGTTGGTCGGGCGGGAAATAGAAGCACCAGGCTCTGGGTGCACAGCAGTCTGGAGAGAAGGCATTCTTTTTGAATTGAATTTCTTTCATTCTTGCATTCTCGTGGGCAAGGCTGGAACCTCAGTTTTCTTACTAAATGAGGCATGAACTAAAGGTTTCTATAGATTTACAGATACAATCAGGTTTTAGAAAGTTTCTTCTATTTTGGTCTGCTGAGTGGTTTTCTATATTGCCATGAGTGGATGTTTAATGTTAGCAAATGCTTTCTGTTTATTGAGCTGATGGCCTTCCTCTTACATCTGATTCTGGGGCACGTCGCATCAGTTGGTCGACGGTGACATGAGATCCGCGTCCTTCGTGCAAGCCTGGCTTGCTCCTGACCATCAGCCCTTGTACTTGCCGCTGGACTGGACTAACTGTGAGCTGCTGCGGGGTTAGGGTGTCCGTGCCCCTGAATCTTGAATGAGATTGCTCTGTGATGCTCCTTTCTTGTTTGGTTATTTGCGGGCAGATTTTATCAGACTTACGAAATTATACGGGTAGTGCTCCTCTTTTTTTTTCTTTCTTTCTTTCTTTTTTTTTTTTTTTTTTAAGATTTATTTATTTACTCATGCAGAACTGGGGTACAGGCCAGAAATGTGGAGGGTGAGAGGATTCACCAGAGACAGAGTAGGGAGCAGAACAGGCAGATGGACAAAGTACACTGCTGAGGGGAGCAGCGGGCGGGTCAGGAGAGGTCTGCCACGCCATGTGGGTCAGCTCTGGGGCGGGGGATCAAGCTTGCATGGAAGCATCTGTAGCTTGTTTGCAGTGCTGCGCTTTTACCTGCTGCACCACCAGAGAGGGCCCTAGTATAAATTTTTTTTTTTTTTGCATATTTTGGCTTAGCTTTTAATGGTCTGCAATGTTTGAAAAAAATATATAGATATAGGGCCCTCCCTGGTGGCCAGCGGGTTAAAGCACAGCACTGAGAATCTAAAGCCGCTTCCACATGAGTTCGATTCCCGCCTGCCCCGGAGGTGACCACATGGTGTGGCAGAGCTCTCCTGACCCACCCACTGCTCCCCTCAGCAGTGTACTTCGTCCATCTGCCTGTTCTGCTCCCCACTCTGTCTCTGGTGAAGCCTCTCACCGCCCCTGAGCCTCTGGCCTGTACCCCAGTTCTGTATGCACAAATAAATAAATCTTTAAAAAAAATATATATATATACTTAAGACTTATTTATTCATGCATACAGAAATGGGGTACAAGCCAGAGGTGCCGGGGCAGCAAGAAGATTCACCAGAGACAGAGTAGGGAGCAGAACAGGCAGATGGACAAAGTACACGGCTGAGGGGAGCAGTGGGCAGGAGAGGTCTGCCGTGACATGTGGGTCAGCTCTGGGGCGGGGGATGGAACTCACACTGAAGCAGCTGTGGCCAGCTTGCAGTGCTGTGTCCTAACCCGTTGTGCCACCAGGGAGGGCACCTCTGCACCTCTGGCTTGTACCTCAGTTCTATATGCATAAATTAATACTTAAAAAAACAATAGAAGAAGACCCAAAGAAAGGGAGGATATCCTCCCTTGCTCAAGGGTTGGATGAACTGGCCGTGCTAAAATGGCCATCTTAACCAAAGAAATGCGCAGACTTAGAATCTGTACCAACAAGTCTTGAAGTCTGGGAGCAAATCACCTCCATTCTTCGTACATCTCACATTGCTTTGGTTACTCAGGGTCTCTGTGGTAGCTTAAAATCAATGTTTGCTCCGTTTCCTTGAAGAAAGTAATTGGGAATTTGAGCAGAGGGAGAGAAAAGAGGGTGGAGTGGAAACTGGAGTGGGACTGGTGTGCAGAGAAACACTCAAGGAGCAGAGAACACAGATGCTCCCAATGGGAGATGCTTTATTAAGAATCAGACAGCTGTTCCCACAACAGGGACTGGCACCCCCAAGCAAGTGGTCACAGTTTAGCTAAGCCATGGTTTTCATTGTTCTGTTGATCCAGGACAGGAAGCTGGAGATCCTGGTGAAGACTCGGGGAAGTATCTCAGGACACTGGTGAGCATAGCTGACGATGCCCTGGGCCACATCGTCACACACGAATGGCCCCCCAGAGTCCCCCTGTGGACAGAAAAGGGGCACGTCTCAGCCACGGCCCTGGGCTCCCCCCTCTCAGCTTCGTTTTCTCCCCTGTATTCTCCTCCCTTCTTCTCACACTCAGGTTTCCAAGTGGAGGGGACTGAATGGTCATCAGTCACCTTCACTCTAACTGTAGGGCGGCGAAGAGTCCAGGCCGGTGTGATCCCCCCGCTGTTGCCTGTGGCTCCTCTCAGCTCAACCCTGCCCAGAACACCTTCTTGTTCCAGGACAAAGGACAAGAGGATGGCTGGAGAGAGATGCCAGAACCCCACTGTGGGAAGAACGTTCCTCCACCCACCAGAGGACCTGGCCCACTATACTGAGGACTGGGAGTGCACCCCAATGTCACAGTGACACAAGAGCAAGACTGGGAAGGTGACTGTTTCCTTACACCGCCAGTGGCCTTCTTGGAGTTAGGTTTTCCGACACACAGCTGGATTTTTTCGTTCATTCTGGGGAAATGAACCTTGCACTTCTTTTCTTCCTGCACTTCCATATCCACCTCCTGAAGTGTGTCTGCAGAGTTGCCACTATCCGTTTTTCCCCAGCCTGCCACACTGCACACCTGCCCTGGCTTCACCCACTTCGGAGATTGCGGCAGGGCAATGGTCTGCACAGCCCAGGTGAGTCGGGCCTTGTTTTTCAGCTGGTCACAAAGGAGAAGAGGCAGGTCAGGTCCCGCCTGCAGTGGGGAGGCTGCCTGGACCCGCTGCACTCCCGCCTTCCCGCTGGAGTCTTCCCCCAGCCCCTTCTTGTTCATTGTCCTGGGAGGAGCATCCCATGGGAGGGAGGACTCACACCATAGTGGGGTGCTCGCTCCCGTAACTTGTGCAGTTGCCCCTGAAAGTCAGCAGGACAGTACCTTCAACAGCATGATGTCATTGATGTATGTCTCATTATCATAGGCCGGGTGGGGGAAGGCTTTGAGCACAGAGATTAGCTGCTGGGTTTGTTCCCTCCTTCTGATATTGTGAGCTCCGAGTGTGACAGTCATTTGGCTGCAAAACAAGTAGGATGTGAGTGAGGAGCTTCGGCGCAGCCTCTGGAGGGCAGGTGGGAGTGCAGCCTAAAGACCCCCAGCAGAGTAGATTGGAAGGGGTGGGTGGGTGCCCCCCCTCCTTGCAGTGCAGAGGTGATTCAGGCTGTGCAGGGCCTCGGCAGCCCGCCCCCTCCCCCAGCCTCCCCTGGGGCTCCAGGCCCCCCCCCCCCACTTGCTCTGTCCCGGGCACAGGTCACTGGCTCCTCTAGGTGCCTGAGGGCTCAGGAACCTTCCTGAACTGCCTGGGGCCATGTTGGACCACCCAGGAAACAAGGCCCCCTTTGTTCTCACCTGCCAAGGCAGTGAGCTGCTGTCATCACGAAGTTGTCCCGTACCAGGAAACCCCCACATCTGTACTTATTACCTTGTTGGTCATTATAGAACTCTATAAGTGCCATGTAGGGTCGGGAGTGTGGTATGGCCTCTTTGCCCCCATATATCTTCGCTGAAAGAGAAAATTCCCTGAATACCTTTCATATTAAAAAAAAAAAAAAAAAAGCCAGGCTGTATCTGGAACTGGAGACGTGAGTGGGACAGTCCCAGGTGGGTGGTGGCCAAGGTCCTCAGGGCCCACGCGGGGGAGGGGACACGGGTTCCTGGGCAGCATGGGTGTAGTGAACATGTGCTGCTACTTCCTTCTTCCAGTGCAGTACTCTGCATACCCTGGATCCCACACACTCAAATACTTGTTGGAGGAAAGGATCTGTGTTCAGAGTAGCCGAGCTAGAAGACCTGAGTTACTCATTTCCCAGCTTCTCAATGCCCTGGCTCACGTTTACTCCAGCACTGGTCCACTCCAAGGCCAGAAATCTGTGCCGTGGAAAGCTTGGGCTCCTTCTCCCCATCCTGAGTGAGATACAGCAAACACCCTACAATCTGCTGGGAACACACTAAACAGTGCCAAAATCTCCTGAGCTGAAATAGAGTGTGGTCCTAAAGCGGTTTGAACTCCAGCACAGAGTTATCTTTCTAAGGCACTGACAGAAGGATCCAGAAGGAATATTAGAAAGCTCTGGAAACAAGAATGACTGTGGGAACAGTGGTGGGGCCACACTGACCCCTCAGCTAGGGTCTGTCTTTGGCCCGTAGAGCTGAGAGGCCGGGAGAGTGAGAGCAGGGACAGGTGACACAGACATTGCGTGTGAGGTGGCTGATTTATTCCTGGTCCAGAACACAGCTCCCGGGGCGAATGACTTTTCTCAGGTGTGCAGAGTGGGAGTTACAGACCTCAGTTCCAGCTGTCCTGCACCCCACACCATGCTAATAGCATGTTCCTTTTCAGGGGACAGGAGAGAGAGCCCCGAAGAAGACATCACCCAGGTTCTCTGTAATTTCTGTGACACGCATACTCAGACAAAGACCTGGGGTTTAGCAAATTCCTGGGAATAGACAAAGCAAGGACCCTTCATAGTGGGCTTTGCTGGGGCACTTGGAGTGTCGCAGCTGGAATAAATCGGACATCTAAGAGTGGAGAGAGTCACTTACCTCCTTCAATCCGGGAGCTCAGGGCACTGGCCAACAAGAACAGGACGGACAGCATCTTTCTTAAGTGGGTGATCAAGTCTGCTGTGGGGCCGGATTCTTTCCTTTGGTTTTAAATAGTGGAGGTGAAGTCAGAGGGGAACACTCAGAGACCACGGACTTCCTGGTTGTGTTGATTTGCAAGCAGGAGCTATCCACGCACATGTCATGGGTTCACACAGGAAGGTCTGTGAACTGAGGGTGCTGAAGTGCACAGTCCTAAGGCATTGGGGGTGGGGGGAAGTGAGGACACATTCTGAGGAGAAACCTGACTCTTTAAGAGAGGAAGGGGCTTTGAGAACTAGGGACTGACTAGCCCGAGTGCTGTCCCCTTACTGTGTGGGGCCCTCCGAAGGCTGAAGGCGACCCCAACATGCTGACCTTGTGGTTAACCAGGTGACCCCGTCTGCTGCTTAAGCAGCAACTATCTACTCATCTGACTCTTGTGAAGCTCCTTGTTGATAGCCCAAATGTTTTGATTTTTGGTTTGCGGGATTTGTTTCTTTTTTTTTTCCTGTACTGTAGAAAAACACTGAGCACTGATCTCTCCCAAAACACAATCAAGAGTCTAATTATCCATCAAGCTTGTGGTTAGTTCAGCTAAACAAAACTGCTGCAGTGAAGTGGAGGTGGGATGTAGCTGAAGAGTACATGAAAGGCCAGAAGAGCAGAAGAGTCAAGCCTGGGAAGAGCGCTGGGCAGGCAGGGGGGCTCGAGTTCATGTGGGGCGCAGGCCCTGGAGCCGGCCCCAGGTGCCTGTCATAGTGTGTTCAGCACAGCTATCATTTGTTAAATGACTGGAACCACATCCCAGCTCTGCTCGGCTAGAAGGTGGGCGAGGATGGACCCGCCCCTCTGGTCCCATCCATTTCCTTATCTGACAGGTGAGCTGGCATGAGGTGGGAAGATCTTACTTGAGACCCAGTCTAGGGGACCCCGCCCTTGAGTTCTGAGGAGAACTTCCACTGGAGAGCGTTGAGGGGAGGTGAGAGGACTCCCAACTCTCTTACAACAGAGGAGGAGCCGGGGCTGTGTGTCCTGGGGAGAAGGGGCTGCCCGACTGCACCTGCTGTCCGGGTGCAGACTGTTGGGTGCTGATGAGGTACCTCCATGCTTCCAGAGTGGGTGCAGAGGACATGACAGGGACAGAGAGGGGATGAATATTTCCTGATGTTTTTTGTACACCAGTTGCTTCCTCAGAAAGTTGATGTGCCCTGGTTTCCTTATTCCAGTATCATGGGACATCCCCACTGTGGACATAGAAAAGGAGCTCCCAGGAGGACTGTCACATTAATGCAGGATTCCACAAGAAACTCAGGCTAGTGAAACATGGTCAGTCTTGAGCCAGTCTCCTTATCATCCATGGTAACCTCACTCTGGTTTAATACCTTGCTGCCACCACTCAATAGCCACCTGGGAGGAAGGAGGGAGTCTCTGTTGCAGGACTGGATGGACTATCTTGAGGTGTGAGGTCCAGTCTACCACCAGGATGGAGAAGACAGCGAGTCCTTTATCTTACTGGAGTCACACCAGAGCAGGGAGCCTTAGGAGGGGCCTCCAGCTCAGACATCATGGTCACTGCCCCATCCTCGATATCCAAGGTCTCGGGGGCCACAGAGACCATCAGTTCCAGGCCGGGAGGCCAACCTTTGGTGAAAGACTCCTGGCCTGGGTCCCTGCACCTGGCCGGCCCAGCGCCACCCCCCACCCCCTAGTCTGGACGCCAGTCTGACCTGCTGCCTTGGGATCAGCTTCAGCCATGGTTGTGATACACATCTCCCCGATGAAATACACCCGCACCCCGATATAGATCCATTTTCATATGGCGGGAAGATCTCCCCTTTGACTCCTGTGACCCTTAGACGTGCCTTCTCATGTGTTGTTACTCACATATTCTGTAGCAGAATATCTCAAACATCTTGGCCACGTTCCAAGTGAGGTGAGAACAGTTGACTTCACAGTTTGAGTGCTGAGAAGCGTTGTGAGGCAAATACAGCAGGAAGAGGCTCAGGAGCGACAATGCAGGGGCCAGTGCCCTCCCTTGTGGAAGACACCCCCCAACAAGAATAAAACATGGAGACAGTCAGCGACGTCTGTGAGTTAAGCAATACAGGTGGTGAGACAACGCTTGACCTCCAGGGTGAAAAGCTCTGCGCTTGCACAGAGCGATGCTGAGAGGCGAGGGCATTTAGCTCTCGCAGTCTCCTAGGAAGCCTGAAGACTGGGAAGCCTCAGTGAGCAAGAAGGCCGGAGGGCTAGAGCGGGTGGGTGAGGAGAGCAGGGCAGGGCCTGGGGAGCATGAAGAGCAGTCCTGCCTGGCTGTGACCCCACCTGGCCTCAGGTCCTCAGCAACCTCTGCTCCTTGGAGGGGACAGACATACTGTTTATTGAGAAACAGAACTGGGCTGTGAGGAGTGTCAGTGGTGGCTGTAACACTGAGAAGAGAATTCTTCTACAGAAGATGGAGAAGTCAGTAGGATAATAGAAATCAAACTATATGGGATTAGACGTGGTGAGGTCCTCCTCACTGTTGACTCCCCCAATGTTGCATCTGGGCTAAAAACATCTACCAAATGACAACTCCCCAATTTTTTTTTTACATTATTCTTCATTTTGTGCATTATTTCATCTCAGTGTAATCCCCATGGACTTCCCACCACCACTTCACCCATGTGCCATCACCATAGTCCAGTGCACTCTCTCCACCCCAGTTTTGATCCTCTTCCCCTCTCTACTCCCATTTTTCTGGTTTGTAGTTGTTTTTCACTTTTACTTTATTACAATTGCTTTTTTTTTTCCTGATCCCTTATGCACCTGCTATAAGTGAAACCCTCCAGGACTTATCTTTTTCATTCTGGCTTATTTCGCTAAGCATGATCCCTTCCAGCTCCATCCATGTTGCTGCAAAATACATGAGTTTATCTTTTTGATCGCTGAGTAATATTCCATTGTGTATATGTACACATCTTCTTAATCCAGTCATCTATTTTTGGACATTTGTGTTGATTCCACATCTTCCCTATTGTAAATAGAGGAGCAATAAACATAGGGGTTCAGGTGTCCTTTTGAAGCAATGTTTTTGTGTCCTTTGGGTAGAAGTGGGGTTGCTGGGTCATATGGAAGCTCTATTTTTAGTGGTTTGAGAAACCTCCAAACAACTTTCCAAAGAGGTTGTACCAGTCTGCATTCCTACCAGCAATGTAGGAGAGTTCCTTTTTCTCCACATCCTCACCAACATTTGCTGTTGCTAGTTGTTTCAGTATGTGACATTCTCACTGTGTGAGATGGTATCTTATTATGGTTTTAGTTTGCCTCATTGTAAGTGAAGCTGAACATTTTTTGATATACCTGTTGACCATCTCATTTCCTCTTTGGAGAAGTGATTTTTTAGCTCTTCTGCCCACTTTTTGATGGGGTTGTTCGTTTTATTTTTGTTGAATTTCATCAGCTACTTGTATGTCTTTGTGACCAGTCCTTTGTCATTTGTATTGTGTGCAAATACTTTCTCCCAATCAGTGGGGTGTCTCTTTGTTTTGTGAGTTGTCTCTTTTGCTGTACAGAAGCACTTTAACTTGATGTAGTCCCAGATATTTATCCTTTCCTTCACTAACCTTGACTTGGGTGATGTATCTTTAAAGATGTTACTGAGGTGTATGTCATGTAGTGTTTCGCCAACATTTTCTTCTAGTTATTTGCTGATTTGGGTCTTATGTCTAGTTCCTTACTCCATTTTGAGTTGGTTTTTGTGCATATTTTGAGGTAATAATCTAGCTTCTTTTTTTGGTATGTAGCAGCCCAGTTTTCCCAGCACCATTTGTTGAACAATCTTTCTTTGCTCCATTGCATATTTTTTGCTCCTTTGTCAAAGATTACCTGTCCGTAACACTGTGGGTTTATATGTGAATTTTAATTCAAATCCGTTGGTCTGTACGTCTATTCTTAGTCCAGTACCATGCAGTTTTGATTATTATGGCTTTGGAGTATAGTTTAAAGTCTGGGCATGTGGTGCCTCAATTTTATTAGTTTTAGTAAAGAGTTTTGGCTATTCAAGGTTTTTGTGGTCCCATATAAATATCATCCATATTTTCTTTTATTTCTTTGAAGAATGTCTTTGAGATTTTAAAAAAAGATTTACTTATTTATGCATACAGAACTAGGGAACAGGCCAGAGGTGCATGGGTGGTGAGAGGATTCACCAGAGACAGAGTGGGGAGCAGAACTAACAAAGTACAATGCTGAGGGGAGCAGTGGGCAGGTCAGGAGAGGTCTGTCACACCATGTGGATCACCGCCAGGGCCTGGGATCGAACTCATGCTGAAGTGGCTTTAGCTTCTTAGGGCTGTGCTTTAACCTGCTGCGCTACCAGGGAGGCCCCTGTCTTCAAGATTTTTATTGAAAGAGCATTAAAACTGTAAGTAGCTTTTGGTAGTATGGCCATTTTAATGTTGTTAATTCTTCCGATCCATGAACACATTTCTTTGTGTCTTCTTGTATTTCTTTTAATAGTGTTTATAATTTTCTTTGTATAGGTCTTTTACTTCTTTTGTTAGGTTTATCCCCAAGTATTAGATTTTTTTTTTGTTGTTGTTGTTGTAAAGGGGATGGTTTTTTTTTTTTATTACAACTTCTTCTGATTGGGACAAACCCAAAATTTTGCAGGCTGCCTGGATGCCCCACCCCACCTCAGAGCACCCTACCCATGCATCTGGTGGGGCTCATTTACCTAGGATTCCTCTACGCTGGGCCTCTGACCAGATACCTGAGCCCCTTCCTGGGACAGACCTTTCCTGGGGCCTTTTACTCTCTCTGGGCTCAGAGAAACAGGCTGACTCCTGCTGCTGTAGGCTGAGGTGAAGATGGAATTTCTGGAGGAAAAGGACCATCCAGTGCTAACGCCACTGATCCTGCCCCATAATTCCCTTGGGACTTACTGAGGACCACTTACGGGTAGGTGTTTATGGGAAGGCATTTAAGATGCTGGTAGTGGCACAGCCAGCCTTCACGCTTGGTACCAGTAAGGGGGTATGAGGGGAATGGCTGGAAGCTGACTCATTGTAGTCCAAGGTCAAGTTCAGTGTCTTGGGGAATTAAACTTGGCCAGTCTCAGTTTTCCAGGCTTAGAAACCTGAAACAAGGAGACATTTGCAGTCTCATCTTGGAGAGTCTGGCAAATGATTAAGCAAGAAGACAGTTCCCACGAAAGGTTGGCAGGGATAATGTGGGTGGTGTAAATGAAAATGAGAGAATGTTTCAAAAGTGAACATGGAGAGCCATTCCTGCCCCTGGTGGTCACCCCAAATCTGGGGTCTTAGGTCACTGGTATCAGAGGTGTCATCCTGTCATTGTTCCTGTGGAAAGGCTCTCAGAGCCCAGCA